TGACTCCATTAACACTGGCTGCTACTCTAACCAGAGCTTTGGAAAAGAGATTTTTCTGTCCATCTGACTATTTGTATGTCTATTGGCTGTTGGCCCTACTACCTGGGCAATTTTGAAAACTGTAATCCAGGGGTAGGCAACCTAAGGCCTTGGGGGCCAGATGTGGCCCCCGAGGCCTTTGGACCAGTCCTGCCACCCAGGCTGCCTGCCACCGCCGCCGCCGCCGCCCACCATGATGATATTGATTATTGTTGTTATTACTTGTTCTTGGGGTTTTCTTGGCAAAATCTCCACAGGGGTTTTGCCATGGCTTTTCTGGGGCTGAGAGAGTGTGCATGCATATTTTTTAAATTTTAATTTTTTAAAAATATTTTATTTATTTATTTATTTATTTGTTTTATTTTTGGTGCTTTGGCCCCCCAATTGTCTGAGGGACAGCAACCTGGCCCCCGGCTCAAAAAGATTGCCTACCCCTGCTGTAATCCAAGGGTAACTTTGCAATGGTCTGAGTCTGCCTGGCCCCAGCTCCAAGCCCAAGATGGGGTCCCTCACCAGCTACTTGCCATCTTGCCAAGGAGTCTGTTCTGCCATGTTGCTGGAGGACCCCTCTTCACCTCACCAATTATTATTTTTTACTTATGTATTTGATCAATTATCCTCAGCCCTCCACATTCGCTGGGGTCAGGAATGCAGGAACCTCATGAAAGTGGGGGAAACGCAAACACAAAAGCACCCATTTCCTTACCTGAAATAACAGCTCTCTAAAATCTCCAGGCCCTCCAGCACAACTCTATGGTCAACATCTGGCAGAAAATGACTAGACAAAAGCAGGTATGCAATGTTAAATAATATGTGATAGTGTAATGTTACGTAAAGATGACAACGCCATCATATAAAACCGTTATGACCATATACATCCAATACATATATCAGGAACAAATGGCATGCATCAAAATATCATATGGAAAGATGTAAAAATGCACAGAACTAATGCTTCATAGAGTCAGTCCATAGGAGAATTCCCAGCTGAAATGCTGTCCAAATGTCCTGGAGAAGTCCTTTTGTGTAATATTTGTGTAATATCATTGGAACGTGAGTTTATTATTCTGTACCACAAATTGGCTGTTATGTATAAATGTTTGTATTTAGGGAGCTGATGAAATCTCCAAGGATGAAACTGAGACTATAATTCCCAGGGTTTTTCGTTTTACTCCTACTCTCCAATTTACTGTTCATCCAATCTACACTTCTTATCTACTTTGTGAAATGTCCAGCATTCAGGAATTTGACGTTTTTCTATTAGTGGGGAATTAATGACTTTTTAGGAATCTACGTTTGATGTATACATCTCAGGACTTCCCCAGGACATTTGAACATCTTGGCATTTCAGCTGGGAATTCTCCTTATGGACTGACTCTATGAAGAATTCGTTCTATGCATTTTTACATCCTTTCATATGATATTTTGATGTTTAGAATCATAGAATCCTAGAGTTGGAAGAGACCACAAGGGCCATCCAGTCCAACCCCCTGCCATGCAGGAACTCACAATCAAAGCCATCCAGTCCAACCCCCCTGCCATGCAGGAACTCCCAATCAAAGCATCCCTGACAGATGGCCATCCAGCCTCTGCTTAAATGATGCATGCCATTTGTTCCTGATATATGTATTGGATGTATATTGTTATAATTGTTTTATGTGATTGCAATGTCATCTTGTTTATGTAACATTCCACTGTCACATATTATTCAACATTGTGTATCTGTTTTTGTCTAGTATTTTCGGTGGTTATTAGGGGACCATGGTGGTTTTCTTTTGGTCAACATCTGGCAGAGTTATGCTGGAGGACCTAGAGATTCCTAAAGAGAACACATTACTCAAATTTGCAAAAGCCAAAGCTGCAAATGTGGAGAGACAACTGCAATCATCCTACCTTTTCCACAATATGAAACCCAAGGTGGCTCACGACTAGAACAAAAAGAGTAAATCTCGCTTTGCTTTGCTTTGCTTTGCTTTGCTCTGCTTTGCTTTGCTTTGCTTTGCTTTGCTTTGCTCTGTTGAACCCACAAATACAATCAAGACCACATGCACCAGCCCACCCAGAATAATCTGCACCAGGATTTAAAAAATAAAATAAAATAAAGCCTAGATTGAATCCTGTTGAGGCCATGCACTTACACAGGTTCCCAGCTGTACTTTATTTTGGCAATGGATGCATGCAATTCACAATTAAATATCTGATGGGGTGACATGCAGAAGATGGAAGAACAAAACACTAGAATCCATCTCATTTTACAACTAATGATGGCTATGAGGACTAAACCACAATGAAAATTAACTCAGTATGTAGGTATGTAACACTATATTGTATAATTATATGTAAAATTTAGCATGTAAGTAATGTCCTTTATTAGGAACTGTTTTTGCGTTGTTAGCCAGACAATAATGTGTATGGTCTAAGCAGAAACTGGAATTTCCATAATTAATAATTTTTGGTGTGAGGCTTAGTTTATATGTGGAATTACATAGCAGGTCTGTATATTCTATTTTCCTGGATGTTGCTGTTGTTGTGTGCCTTCAAGTCAACTTACGGAGACCCTAAGTATCATGGGGTTTTCTTGGTGTGAGTTATTCAGAGGAGGTTTGCCATTGCCTTCTTCTGAGGCTGAGAGTGTGTGACTTACGCAAGGTCACCCACAGTGGGTTTCATGGCTGAGCTGGGAATCGAACCCTGGTCTCCGGAATCGCAGTCCAACACTCAGACCACTACTACACCACACTGGCTCTCATAGCGTTGACATACCTTACACAATTGCTAAATTCTGCATATAATTACACAATATAGTGTTATATATACATATAAACTGAATTAATTCTTGTTGTGGTTTAGTCCTCATATTCATTATTATGTATGAAGAAGAGGAGGAGGAGGAATAGGAAGAAGAGAAGGAGGAAAAAGAGGAGGAGAGGGAGGAGGAGGATGGAGCATAGGATGGAGCTACAGCATTCAAAGTGGGGTCAAACTGCAATTATTTCTACAGTGCAGATGCACCCTGCAAAGTAATTTGAATACTTGGCACTGAATTGGCATTATTCATTCATATATACATAAAAAATAAGGCATCAGGGTCCTTTCATGCCCTGCAGGAGCCCTGGTAGAGTAGTGGTTAAATGCCAGTCCTGCAGCCACAATGTTTTGAGTTGGATCCCAGGGCTCCAAGGTCAACTCAGCCTTCCATCCTTTCGTACATCGGTAAAATGAGTCCCTATCTTATTGGGGACAATTGGCTTACAGATTGTAAACCTCTTAGGGAGTGCTAGTTCACTGATATGGAGTATAGAAATGGACTTCCTATTGCTATTGCTATTGCTATTGCTATTGCTATTGCTATTGCTATTGCTGTCTGATTGCACCTTGATAACATGATGTCAAAACCCCTTGGCCCAGATCCTATTATTTGTCTTGAATCAAGCCGTCCCATTGAATCAATGAGATTTTACTTACAGCTTGACTCACCTTTCACCAGCTGATTCAATAGCCCTACTCTAGTGGGAATAGGATTTCAGCCACAATTAATTCTTTGTGGTGTTTTATTATTGCAAGGGTATGGGGAGGAGGGTCCATAGCACAGTTAGCAGAACCAGAGCTTGGAAAAATTAGTTTTTGAACTATAGTGGTGCCTCCACATTTGCTGGGGTTAGGGGAGAAGGACCCCCGTGAATGTAAAAAAAATGCAAATTAAAAAAAAACGCTATCCTTTTTACCTAAGAGAACACCTCTCTAGGAATCTCCAGGTCCGCCAGCACAACTCTATGGTCAATTTCCAGCAGACTTGTGCTGGAGGACCTATAGATTCCTAGAGATAGCATATTAACCAAAACTGCAAATACTCAAATCCACAAAAGTCAAAGCCGCAAATGTAAAGGGCCAATTGTACAGTTAAAATCCCTGGGATTTGAGGTTTACCCTAAGAGTGAGTAAAGTGGCAAGATTCCAGCCCTTGTGTTCACCTGAAGCAGCTGGACAAGGCGAGGAATGCATTTATAATTTTAAAAAATCAACAAAGTTTGCCAAACCTGTGTTTTTCTGTGAATGAGTGTAAAGGTGGATACCAGATGCAAAGACATCCTCTATCGGGAGCCCTTTGCTGGTTTGTTATCAGGACCCTTTGGTCTGTGTGATAAGGTCTCTCTCTGCTGGCCAAAAACTACAAATACAAGACTCTTCCTAACCACACACAACCTCAGTTCCTGGGTGGCAAAACAACGGCATGCACAAAACTAGACCAAGGAGACCGGAAGGCTTACAAATTTTCTCATCCTCATTGAGACATTTTAACAAACAGGCCCAGATAAGGGCAAAAACTATCTCAGTCTCCCTTAGTGTGGAGAAAAACGTTTGAAATTCTTTGTTCTTACATGCAAAAATGAAATAATTGAAGACTAAGGGTGTATCAACACTGTACAAACAATGCAGTTTGACAATACTTTCACTCTCACGGCTCCATTCTGCAGAATCCTGGGATTTGTACTTTTAGGAGGCACCAGCACTTTTTGATAGAGAAGGCTAAAGATTTTGCAAAGCCACATATCCAAGGATTCCTTATAATGCAGATAAAGTGGTGTCAAACTGCATTATTTCTACAGTGC